GGGGTGCGCTCAGAGCCGTCCCGGGGTGCGTGGCTCTCCGGGCTGTGGTGCACGAGGAGCTCGGCTCTCTGCTAGCGATGGTGCACGCAACGCACCTTGATGTTCCCCTGCCCCATCAGGTGTGGTTTGCTGCCCAGGAGCCTCGTGGAGGCCCTGGAAAAGGCCCTCGGTGTGAAGTTGGAGTCGTTTGAGTGGGAAGAGCTGGGTACCCAGCAGGGAGGTCATCAGCTGCTTTCCTTCACGCAATGGCCATGCGTGTACTCTGCCTGCAGCTGCCTCTGCCAAGTTCAGCAGAGCTGGGCACAGAGGCTCCCCCCTCACTTCTAGGGGAAAATCTGGGAGAAGAAGGAAAGCATGGCCATTACGTGAATAATACATTAATGCCTTCCTCTGTGTTACTGGTGCTCTTGATTTCTCAACGCATGGCTTGGCCCTGCTCAGGCTGGTCTGTTGCCTGGCATCCCTTTTAGCCGGTGCACAGCCCCCGCCGATGACACCACTGCAGAAGTTGCTGACCTTTGGGCTCGAGCCCCCGGATCAGCTCGTGGCAAGCTATCGGATCAAAGACGGAGCAGCGCTCATGTGCAATGAGACATGTGCTGAGGCAAGAAGGTTTCCAGGCAGATTGCTGGTAAAATACCCGGGTGATTCCAGGTGAGACAGGGTGCTCGCTGAACCTCAGCTGCACCCGTGCACCGAGCAGGTGACTGCTTCTCTCGCAGCTCTTGGGAATTGCACGGTGCGTGCAATTCTTGCTTTTTTTCCAGGGGTGCCGTTTGTCCAAGCCCCACTATCTCTGCTTTAAAAACCATTTGCGAGCGCTCTAAAATAAACAGCCCCATTTTGTTTTGGAAACCTAAGCAGTCAGGAAAATCAGTAATGACTAACAGAGGGGAGATAGAAGATGGTTAAAAAACAGGATTAGGTTACACGGAGCAAGGCAAGTGAATACAGTCAAGGAAAAAACAAAGTAAGTTGGTCATCTGCCCCAGTAAGTCACTGATACAAAACCCCTTTAACCCAGACTGCTCTTGAATTGCCTTTTTTTTTTTTAAATGTATTTTTGGCGGAGCCAGTGAGCACAGGGAAGGGTTTGGGGCACGTGTGCTGGCCAAGCAGGGATGGTGTGGGTTGGTTGGACGCAGAAAGTAGATGGCACCAGAGCAAAGACCAAGCAGGAGAGGACAGGGCTCCAGAGAGGCAAAAGGGATTGGGAGGGGTTGGATTAAAAGGTGGCAGAAAAGGGAAACAAAGGAGAGGGAGCAAAGCTGGGGCCCTGACCCAGAAGCTCTGGGGCTGAGACATGGTGTGGGAAGAAGAGGGAAGAGGACTGCAAACAGGGTGTGGATGGAGAGGAAGAGAAGGGTGGCAGAAGACACAGAGGGACAAAGTCTGGGTGCAATGAAGGGGATTTCAGATGCCCCACAGGGGAGTAAGAAGAGATGGAACAAAGGGCCACAGGGGATGAAAGCAGAGAAGAAGAATGTGAGAAGCTGAGCAACCGGGCTTCACAAACTTCTCAGCCAACACCAGTACCTCACAGGGCTCTGGAGAGCGTTGTCCCAGGTCTCCTGCACATCCTTCAAGTTGCCTTCACGTTGGCCTGCTCTGCTGTTCACAGTGCTGTGCTCAGGGGCTCCAGGCTGCTCCCCAGCTCCTCCCCAGGGCCACACGCTGGTACCTGCGAGCACAGGAGGGTGAGGAGAGGGAACCCAACGTGGGCAACACAACGAGCCCACACAGTGAGGAGCGCTGGGCTCTTGACATGGAAAAGGTCACTTTATGTGGAGGGACAGGACTGAAGAAGATCACATGCTCCAGAACTTTGCTTATATAGGGAATTAAAGTTGCTTAATTTCTTTTTGGGACTTAGGGAAGCAGAGAGTGGCTAAAAGACAGAGTGGAAACCCTGGACATGCAGCACTGCATCGCACACAGTATTTGCAGTGCAACCTCAGCCCTGCCCTCTGGGCACCAGCACACACACCTATGCCCTGCCTGCTCTGGAAACGAGCTCAGAGGGCTCCAGCACAAAGCCTGCCTTCCCTTGCCATGGCAAAAGGCAGTGGAAGGTCGTGCGCAGCTGAGAGGAGCAAGCTAGGCTTGGCCTACGTTCAAGTGCTGAGCCCACACGCATCACGCTGGAAGTCATCTTGACGTCTCCCTTCCTATGCAGATCCCTCGGGAGGTGGCCTCGCTCGGCTCTCCCAAGGAGCAGCAGGTCACCCCGACTCAGCCCACCAGGCTGCTGGTTCCTGCAGCAGCAGATCTCCACGGGCACGGCAGGCAAACCAAATAACCTGCACCTGTCCCCCCAGCGCAGCCCTCGCGCTCTGTCATGATATCAGCTTTTCCAAGCTGCTCCCACTGATAATCGATACAGCCACAGTCACCACAGCAAATACACTCAGAATAGATGCAGATAAATGCTGGATTTCCAATTTGTTGTTTGTGTTTCTAATAATAGCACACCCAAAGAGAGCGTCTCAGGTCTATTTATTAGGCTCCTCACTTTTTGCTGTGCCATTCCCCGGAGCTAATGCCAACAGGACACAGTTAAGGTGGTGCTGGGGAGTGATATTTCTTTTAACGTTTTATTGCTGCCTTCTCAGACGTTGCAGTCCTGCGAGTATCAGAGTTTTCTAGAAGAGCAGGGAGACACCACGCTAACCGTGCAGCAACAACTGCTCTGAGCACTAAGTAACGGTGAGGGAAGGCAGCTCAGGGCACACTGCTTTGTGGTCAAATCTGGCAAGATCGCAGTCCAAACGAGGTCCCATACAAAGAAGGATTAGAAAAGGGCTTAGGGAGGATGGGCAAGGTGAGTTACTGAATTTAATTGTTGTGGGTCAGACACACCTTGTTATTTTCCACTTTTTTTTTAAATCAAATTGGCATCCTGTGTTTAAAGACCACAAGGAGTGACTGTGTAAGGTGTAGCCCTGGAAGAACTTGTAGAAGGGAGATTTGGGGTCTGGACAGGCTGCGTGGCACATGGGCTCAGGGGCAATGTGTGCCACCTCACCTAGAGGGACATCAGGGCATGCGAGAAGGGGCTGTGTGTGCACAGCCCCAAGCCAAAAGACGATGCCATGTTCTCCTACACAACTTGAAGCCCAAGGTGGAAATTTGGGTCTGCACAGAGTGCCAGGAGCCCAATAGCTGGAGACCTAGCAGGGATTTAATAAAAGCAAAGTGATGATCAGCTATGGCACCACCGAAGCCCTGGCACACCCACAGCCCCCATCCTGCACCCTACTTATCAAACGCACTCCAGGGGTGAGCTGGGCTTCCCGGTCCCTTAGCTGCAGCTTTGCCCATGCCACACAGAAAACACTGAATGGCGTGGTGCTGCCGTCAGCACCACGAATTGCCATGCAGGTTCTGACAGGAGACCCCTCTGCAGCAGTCCGAGATCCGGCATCCTAACCTTTAGTGTGCTTTAGGCTGGGTTCAGCCCTGCTGATTTCCCCAGCAGTTTTAGGACACACACACCCCCCGCTGTTGTGTCAGGGTGTCTTTCAGGACAGAGAGCCCTTTGCAGGTTTCTCTCTACCTCCACTGCGTTGTAGCTCAAAGCCTGAGAGAGGCCATTTTGGACAAACTCTCTCAAGATCTAACTGTTTCACCCTCCAGGTACAGCCAGCCTGTTCCCCCATCTTTTTGTACCAAACCTTACGGTGCCCACGTCCTGCTTGCACCTGCACAGCGGGAGAGACAGAGAGAGAGAGGGCAAGGCTGCCTCCTGACCCGCGTAACGGGGGCTTTCTGTCTTTTGTAAGGGAGATGAAGGGGTTTGAAGCCTGAATCTTTGAAGCTGAATAATGATGGCTGTAGGCCTGGTCCTCCCCTGCGTGGCTGCTGGAGGAGGTGCTCTCCGTGACGCACCGACTTGTCACTATGGAGCAATCCAGTATTTCCCCTCCTTGCACTGTGGGGACAGCGCAGGCAGTTTTTCTTTCTGCCTGGCATTTTCCCTCCCCCACCACATTGCAGAGAGGCAGGAAAAAAAAAAATTAAAATCCAGGACGTGGGGCCAGGCTCACACTGTGACTCTGCCCTCGCTTGGGGTGCAACCTGCCTGCAGGGGGGAACACCTCGCACCGAAAGGGTGGTCCCAGCCCACGGAGGGTGCAGGTCTGACGGCATTGCCAGGCCACTTTTAGGGAAGGGGTTATGGGCAGGCAGACATGACCATAGCTCACACATACCTGGTATCACTTAGGGCCGTCCTGACCACTCCTCTTCGCCAAAATTGTCCTTGGCTGAACTCCACTGCAGTCACCGGAGTTCCAGGCGGCGAGCTGCACATTTTGACTCATACCCTGTGAAGTTAGGAGCTGACTCCCAGCACATCTGGCTCCATTTTGGATCGAGAAGATAGGACTCTAAAAAAAAGCCAATAAAACCACTATTTACTGTCAGACACCCAGCCAGAAAAGCTTCTGCTCATCTCGTATTTTCTCTCTTATCCATCGCGCTGGGAAAATCTACGTGAAAGCAGGACTTTGCAGTGGTCACCAGCAATTCCTAGTCCTTCACCTCACCACAGACACGTAGTGTGGCCATGGCAAAGCTGGGCTAAAGCACCCCCAAGGGACCAGGATCCCCTTCAGTGCTCAGCCCCCTCTCTCCCCTCCCTTTGGTGCACACCCTGGTCCCTGGCATGGGTGCTGCAGGGCAGGAAGAGGCAGCAGAAGCTCCCTGCGGTGGGGAAGGGTCTATTGCACCTGGCAAGGAGACGGAGGTGGATGTCTGCTTTGCTGACGAGTAAATATTCTTCCCAGCCAACAGGCTCCACTCCCATCTCGTTTAGCAGAGGAATTAAAAATGTTTGGCAGCTGAGCACATTTGCTACAAAACCTTAAAAAAAAACACCACACAACAAAGCATCAGCAGAGTGGCTCAGGCTGGAGCCTGTGTCTGTCACTAGCATCCTCCCAGCTTTGGCGTTGCTGCTGTCGTTACTTTCGGTGGAGTTTAGGAGCAGCATTAGCCTCCGTGTCCTCCCCTCCCCAGCAGGAAAGAGCTGGCAGAGTGGCCACGGGTGCATTTTAGGACACGAGTGCCCTGCCGTGCCTCTCGGTCTGCCTGTGCACAAGCCCCAGTGCCGAGCTACACCGTCACCAACCCTGCCTTCTCCAGAAGCATTAACTTATGCACACACCATTCACCAATTGTTCAGCGTTTTTGTCAATGAATCCACATTTTATGAATTAGAACAGACCATGCCCCCTTGTGGCTTGACTTGGCTCCCTTTTCCAGGCTGCGAGCCCCCTCAGCACCCGAGTTGGGGTGACTCCGGTGGGGAGAGGTCGTGCTGGACCCTGCCCCTCGGCCACAGATATCCCCCGGAGGGGGTGTCCGGGCGTCTGAGCGCCGAGCCGAGGGGACAGCGTGCGAGAAACAGCGGCTGCTGAAGGAGGAGGAGAGGGATATTTATTTCTCCACAGCTTTAGGAAGGGTTTAGCTAATTTAATCGGGCTGAAAAGCAGCGCGGCTGACACGCAGGCAGAATGCAGTCCCCTGGTTATCCGTGGAGCAGGTACAGCAGAGTAAATGGCTCCTGCCTGACCTATATGGCTCTGACGTTCGCTAGAGAGCACGGGTGGAGCTGATGCTTCGCAGCCTTCCCTCTCCTAACCCCTTCCAGTCCCTAACACGGGATTTTCTAGGTTACGGTAGCACTTTAATTACCTGAACCAGTTTCTGCTGAGACCCGAAATGATCCCCACGACCTAAAGCACAGAGGGAATCCTGAGGGGACCTGGGTACGGCGCTTTGATTTGGGGACTGAAAGAACAAAGTGCACCCACCACGGGAGGAGAGGCGAAACCGCCGGTGCAGAGCCCGCAGATGAAACCGATTTACAATTAGGGTCACATCCCGCAGTCATCACTCACAGCAAAACCCAAGGAAAGGGAAGGAAGAACAAACCTCCCCAAGCCAGCGAGAGCCCCAGCACCGCAGGTTTGTCATCTGCTGGCCTGTGCCTGGGGCTGGAGCGGGGCCCTGAGCCCGGCCACCGCGTCTCGCCTTGCCTCGGCGAGGCTGTGCACAGCCAGCACTTGGTTCTGCACCTCCTGGGGGCCGTGTGGCTGAATTATTGATGGCGGGAGGTGAAAAGCAATAAACAAGAAATCAGCCAAATTGCTAGCGTGAGGGAAGAACAGGTATTAATGCAATTACGAAAAATGAAGCCCTGGTTCCTGCACATGGGGGAAGGAGCACAGCGCGGTGGTGGAACAGAAAGGGAGAGGCAGGACCCCGGGGCTGCGTGGGCAGCTGGCTGAGGCCTCGGTGAGCGCTCGGTTGGTCCTTGCCTTACTTGAGGTTGCACGTCCTTTGGTCAGGGCTTTCCTCGTTACTTTTGGGGGAGCAGCTGGTCCTGTGGGGCCCACGGGCAATGCTACGAACAGAGCTGGCGCTCGATGTCAAATCCATGCACACACGTGTGCTTGTGTGTATTTGTGACCCTTTCCCATTTAATTATCTGCCTACACCATTAAAAGCGTTTTGGGGGTGGGTGCCTTTTACCTTTCTGTCTGTACACACAAGGGCCTCGATCATGATTAGGGCCTCTGAGAACGGACACAATGAGAGTTTAAAAATATATACAGTAGTGGGTGTTGTGAGTGACCTTTGTTCCTTCTGCCTTAGACAGAAAGCCTTGTTTTTCAGTAAGCCTTACACAGTCTTATATAGCTTGTGGGATCTTTTTACCTCATGTGGCTGTCAGTTTAAGATACTCGGGTGGAATATTTAACTCGGATGCTTTTCACCTTCTCCTCTCGCTCTTTGCATGAAGCAGCACAGGTTTCTTCTCCTGAGCGAGCAGAGCGTCTCTCATAAAAACTATGGCAGCTAAATCTGGGATTTTTGTGATTTCTCCTTCACAGGTCTTGGTTCAAAATACTCAGCCTTGCTGAGAAAGCCCCTTCACACACAGGGAGATCTAGAGCAGCCAGTAAACTAGATCATGTCTCTTTCCTCCTCAGGAATGCAGCAGAGGAAAGCAGCTTCCTAAGATGTCTTCCTTGGGGCCAGGGGTTCCCAGGAAGAGAAGGGGAGTCAGCACTTGGAGGAAAAACCATAAGCACCACCTGTTCACAGGAGAAAATTACCAGGACTGCAGCTGAGGGCTGCAAATTTCACCTCTGCTTTCCAAAGGTACAACACACACGATGCTGTCCAGGAGAAGGCAAAGGTGGTTTTGCCCTGATGGATTTGGAGCTCCTGTGAGAGATGTCTGGGGGGCAGCTTTGGGTAGCAAAAGCATCCTGAGGCTGTGATATAGCCCGGAATATCTTTGGTGCTCCATGCTACATAGATATTAACTCTGCCACATCCCTTGTCTCACGGCCACTAAACTAATGAAGGAATTAGCACAAAGATGCCTCTACCGAGATGCAGCTTTCCCTGACGTTGGCGGCACCACTCCCGCCCTGTTTGCCAGCAGAAATGGGAGCAGAGCAGAGAGGTCGGGGGATTTTCCCTTTTGCTCACAAACACACTTGGCCTGATATTTCTCCCCCCTGAAGAAATTAGCATCTCCTTGCCTGGTCTCCCTGCCCCCGGGGCCTGACCCCCACCAGCCCACTCTGCAGCTGCGGGAGCCAGGGGGGCTGCAAGCAGAGCCCTGGGGGGGCCACATGTGGCCACTGCCCTAGGGTGGGCAGGGGGGCGAGGGGCTGTGGTGAGGCCTCCCCTATTGCCCCTGCCCCAGCGGGGAGCGGGGCCGCTGCTAAGCTGCGCCAAATCCCCCTTAAAAACCTGCGGTTGGGTGTCTTGCTGGGTTTTATTTCTCTCTCCCGTTCCTCTCTCGCCCTGGAGTTCTGTAGTAGCCCTGAATTAGCATGTCACGTGTATGGCATGTGGAAATGAATCAGGGGCATGTGAGGAGGAGGAGGACGCCTGTGTCTGTGTTTGCATCCAAGGATCTCCTCTCACTCGGTGTTTGCGTAGGTGTCTAGCTCCCTGCTCCCCTCCCCTCCCTGCCTGCCTCGCTCTCCCTGCCTCCCTCTCATCCCTCCATCTGGCCAGCCCAGCTCTCCCTGCCAGCTCGAGCAATACCTCAGGCAGAAAATGCAGATTTTTCTCTGCACCCCGGTAGGAAAACGGGGTGGCCCTAAGCTCCCCGGGTGTACTCAGGGGAGAGTCTGTGTTTTCCCCCCAATACAGGCTCCCTTTCCTGCTCCCCCCTCCACCGCATTTTTGCTCCTCAGTCAGCACCCGAAGCCCTGCAGACTGCACCAAGGGCATGATTATTAATGCCAACGCACCTCAGCATGGCCCCCAGCCCACCCCAGAGCTGTGGGGGCCACAATCACCCCCCCCGAGGAAGCTGCCACTGGTGGGGATGGGACGTGTCCCTATGGGGGGCAGCCCAGCAGAGGAGCTCAGTGTGGTGTGGGGGTGAGACCCAGCTCAATGAGAGCTGGGGGGGCGGGAAGGGTGCTGAGGCCATTTGGGGTCACAGCCCATCACCCCAAAACAGGGCTGGTGCTGGGAGGGGCTGGGGAGCACATCCTGAGCCTTGTCCCTGCAGCAGCCACCCACACCAGCCCAGAGCCCCCCAGTCCCCAGTCATGCTCCCGTTAGACCAGTCGCCCCCTCCCCTAGTGACAAACTCCACTCCTGCCTTTTTTTTTTTTCCCTTCCCTCCTTTTCTTTTGAAGTCTCCCTTGGCACTGGGTGAACTGGGATGTTTCTGCATCCCCCAAGGATGCTTCCCAAGCGGCGGGGCTCCCTGCCACCACCTCCCGGGCTCCCCTGGCGAGGGGCGAGGCTGGCCCCTTGATGCTTCACTCCAAGCCCCCTCCTGATTGGAAACAGCCGCCTCCCTCCTCGGATCTCTCCCAGACCCCATCTCTGATGGCCCCTTTTGCCCATCTCCACCTCGACCTGCCCCCCTTTGCCCCCAGGCTTTCCCCTGGCCGGGGGCCCCGTGTCCCCCCTGGGGCGGCTGCGGCTGGCGGCGAGGTGCAGCCCTGCGTGAGGCAGGCTATAAATAGAGCCCTAAGCTCCGCTCTCATTGACACTGCTTGGACAGAGCACGGAAAAATAAACAAAGGAGACTCCGGCTCCAAGCAGCGGCCACATTCCTCCTGCTAGATAATAACAGATTTTCCGCCAAGGTGTGCGGGGAACGCGCAGACCGGTGTACGAGGGAGGGAGGGAGCAGGAATCAAAACAAATTATACACACCCAGTGCGTGTCAATATTTTGGTCCCTCTCATTCTGCCCTGTAGTAGCTAAGCACGCACAGATTGCCTATATTTAGAGAAGGGTATATTTTTAAATACTCGGAGATGGAGCTTGTTGCCATTAATAATGGTGGAGCGCACCGAAGGAGGCAGCCCTGGCGAGGACTTGTCGAATGTTGCTTTAGTGACATATAGAGGCCTGACAGATAAAGGACAAGGCAGGAGCAGAGCAAATATTTTGAAATCAAGCAGTGATTACCCTGAAGTTTGCAGTTGTGTTGCTATTTTTACACAGGGGGCTGTTTGCACCGGGAGATCATCCGCAGTTCCCTGGTGCAGAGACTCAGGCAGTGGGAAGGGAGTTATATTATCAGGGGCTTATTTTATTCGGTGTTTTCCTTCTTTTAATTGAGGACAGAGCACTTTCTGCAGCAGGAAGCTTCAGCTCACTACGGATGAAAGCAGGGGTGGGCACAGGGAAAAAAAGTGGTGTTTATTACCAAATTCTGGGATGCTAACTCAGCCCGCCTGAGGAAGGGCAGCGTCTGCATTTTAACAAAATCTTTTCTTCTTTTTTTTTTTCATCCTGTCCTTCTCAAAATAACCTCTCCCGATCTGAGTATTTCTTTAGGGATTTTAATCGCGACTTGTTATGTATATTAGTGGAAGAGGAAAACCATCAATTAAGACCTGCAGTGTAACATGCTGGGAGAGGTACATGCCTGGTAGTAAAAAACTGGCCAAGAAGCTTAGTAGGTGAAGGGAGGAGGAAGAGAATGAAAATAAAAGAAAAAAGACAAGAGGAACAAAAGACCTTTACCTTTATCGTTGGGTAGATGAATGTTGGGTGGCTTACCCAAAGCCATGGAGTGAGTCTGTGGCATCGCCATCTCGTCCATCTCAACACAACACTCCCTGTGTGACCAAGAGCTTTTTGCTCTGTGGCATCCAAGGAGGGGGCCAGCCTTCCACGACCATGACAGTCCCTAATTATCAGATCTGTGGACACAAGTACACCCCTGATTCCTGGAAAAACCCAGCCAGGCATGTTTTACACATGCTTGTGTGCACAAAGAACACCTGATAGGCAGGAAAGTGGGGAGGAGATGATGCTCCTCAGCCTCTTCCTGCTGCTGCCACTGCCTGAGCTGGGTAAGCTGTACTGCCCTAGCTGGCAGGCTAGAGCAGGAATAGCTGGGGAAGGTATGGGGTGAAATTAATTAGTACCTCATAATGGATGGAAGAAGCCAGAGAGTTTGGGCTGTGCACCCATGGGCCATACAGCCTGGGAAGGACAACGCCTCGCCCCATCCTGGGCTGGACTTCACAAATACCAGTGTGAACCTCCAGCTGCCCCTCCACTTGAGATCTTTTTTTATTTTTTTTTAAACCTTGGAGTGCTCAGCCCACATATTCGAGCTTTCACCTCACAACTTCCCTACAAACAGACTCAGCGAGAGGCAACAGGCTACAGCTGCCTCCTTCCCTGTGAGGGAGAGGGCTGGATGCGGCGGGGCACTTCAGGCTGAGCCAGCTACACCAGCTGAACCATCCTCCCTTCACATCTACGCAGGCAGTGCAGATCTATCTTCAGCTGAACGCCGGAATGAGAAACAAGCCGGCAGCCACCCGTCTGAGGCAGGTGCAGCGCACCCCACACACACACGCCGGGGACCTGGGGGAGAGCAGGCTGCAGCGGGGAGGGATTCCCGTGGAGGAGCCCCCACTCGCTGCCTGCTCGCTGAGGCGCGGGGGAGGGCTCCTCTTCTCGGCGCCACAGACACGGGATCAGTTGCCTCACGATGGCACAGTTCCCCGACTCGTCTGGGAATGCACGCACCGCTCTCGTTTGCGGCCTCCATGCAAATGGGACCACAGCTGGGGTGATGAGCTGGGGCCTGTGCCACCACTGCCCACCTGGCCCCTTGTGCAAAGCTGTCCTAGACCCCGGGGAAGGGCTGCGTGGCCATGGGGGAGTGCTGAGTGGGCTGGGCCTCCCAGCTGCACCACCAGTATGGAATGGTGTTGAGTAGAAAACTGGCTATTTCAGGAAAAATAGCCCTCACGGCCTCCCTCTGGTCTGATCCTTGGTGATGGAGGGTGGGACGGGATTAGCTACCATCTTTGGCATCTGGTGTAGCTGCATCCATGGGAGCAGGGGTTGGGAAGTACACTGATCTATTACAAGCTCTCGTCCCCAGATGAAAACGGCCCTCACCCCCTCTTTATGTTTTGTCTGTGACAGCTCATCACGCTGATGGTGGTGGAAGCTGCTCTAAGGAGCTGCCTCCATTTCACAGAGCATTTCTCTGCACAGCAGAAAGCAAGTGCCAGTTCAACACTGGCCACACTCGAGTCCTCAGATGGAAAACGTGGACAGGCCCAGCCAAGGCCTGTGGACACACCACACACAGGGACATGAAGGCCACACATCAGCTCCTCCATCCTGTCCAGCAGCTCCCCAGTTAACACAAAACACCAAGGCAAGAATAGGTCAAACCTCTCTGCATTGCTGCTAGGCTCTTGGGCCACATAACTACCAGAGAAGCAGGCCCAGGTACTTCCTAAGGATTTTTTTGACAACTGTGTTGATTCACGAAAACCAAATGGGATGGGGTGTGAAGGCAGTGAAGAGAAGCACAGCTATGGAGGACGGCTCTGAGGAAGAGCTGTAATAGGAGGCTGGGGTGTGGGATGACTCTTATCCGAGCACCAGGACTAAGATTTCCATTGGCCTTGATGACAATAAACCTCCAGCTGACAACGCAGGCTGCTGTTATGCTCTGATATATCTACAGGGACAGTGGCACCATGCCAGCTGGGTGTTTTATTCATACTTTGTTACTCTTATAAAGATAGGCTCAAGTGACTCATATGTCACTGGCCACACACCATACATTTAAACTCATTGTCATGGATTTGATTTCTGGGGGTTAGGTTGTCGTCTTTTTTTTTTTTTTTTTTTTTTTTTAATATTAATTCCTTTCCCTCCACTCTCCTCAATTTAATTATGACTGTGTAATCTGGAGATCTGTAAAGCTCTAGCCTGAGGTCTCTGGCTATCAAGTTTCCATGTTCACAATTAGCAAATGGAGACAACGAGAGCAGCAGCACTGGAAGAAAGCAGTTTTAACTTAAGATCCTTAAGAGGATCTGTGATGCTGTGGTCTCATCACTAACAGGAGGGCCACGGATGAGGAAGGATTTAGGTTTCAATCCCAAGTTTTGGGGCATTTAAAATAATATGAAAACTAGTCTTTGCTCGACTTTCTAGAGCTAGATAAATGTTAAGCAATGAGGCGCACTAAAGGGATTTTAAGCCTTCCTCTGTAGCGTTCA